GCTACTGCCCCTCCCACAAGGAACCAGACAGCACCTTACACATCACCCAGCACAGACCAAAGACCCAAGGGGAACCCAGCACAGACCAAAGACCCAAGGGGAAGGCCAGCATTGCTGTGCAGCCTGTCCATAGGGACCGCACATGTTCAGACCAAGCTAGGTGTCCTGCTAGGAGTGGGCAGTTCTGCCCACCTCCAGAACAACTGCACTGGTACTATTCAAGAACTTTTACAACCCCCACGGCTTCTCAGTCAGAGTCACGGCTCTGAGGGGCTAACTTGACCAACCTATCATGCTCTGCCAAGCTCTCAAAACAGCCTTTCCATCTTTTCCACTAAGCCTCGTCAGCAATGACATCATATGTCACTTGTTAACATTAAAAAAAAAAAAAACCTCAGGCAGGCCCCACCCTGGGCCATCTTATGAGTCATGTAGAATAAGTTTCAAGTAGTATTTGTTACACTTTTTATATACACCGAGCTTTCCAACCCCCCAAGAAACACCATACACCCTTCACTGCAGATTCGCACATCTTTGTGAATACATTTTACAATTTACAATGACATACACTATAGAGGCACCTAGCACACAGCATAGTGTATATGTAAGTGAGCCACAAACACTTGAATGAATGGACTTTTGATCTATTAATTAATGGGAAAGCTTACTTAGGAACGTAGAACATCTAAGGTACTCAAACGACAAAGGACTGCCAGACAGTCAAATAGTAACTTAAACACGTGGTGACTTATGCCTGTAATTCCTGCTCCTGGGGGTTGAGACTGAAAGATGACCAAGAGTTCAAAGGCAGCCTGGGCTACATGATACATCTCAGGCTAGCCCACCTAACAACAGAGACTTCAGAAAGACTAAAAGAAAAATTGACTTGGGAGTGGGGCAAGAAAAAGAAGGGGAAGTGGGGGAGCCCTCTCATAGAAGCAGGGAGGAAGGGGCATGGGATAGGGGGTTTGTGGAGGGGAAACCAAGAAGGGGGATAACATTTGAAATGTATATAAATAAAATAACCAATTTTTTAAAAAAGGAAAAAAAGGAAAAGGAGAAAGAGGTAGAAAAGGAAGGAAGGAAAGAAAAGGAAATAGTAGTTCAGAATCCTAAGTGAGCTGAACTGGAAGTCATTTCTGTGTCGTAACAAGAAATGAAGGTCACAGTGATGATACATGAGGTCGCCCAGGTTTAGGACAGAGACTGTAAAAAGGACTGCGTGCCAAACCATGGGACAGCTGATATAGACAGCGGGTAAGTCAGCCGGCTGGGAAGAACACACTTTACCTTCCGTGACTTTGCTGGAGAGGTTAGGACAGGAACATGAGCTCGTGCTGCCGAGGCTCACTCCCAGAATCCCACCACCTCAGCATTCAGGAAGTTGGGACAAGAGGATGACCATCAGGTCAGCCTGCCTACGTAATAGTATAAGTGACTTAATGAGAGAGAGCCAGAGGTGGACGGGAGGAGGGAGCAGAGAAGAGAGGAGGAGGGATGGAGGAATGCACATACCAGTGCCCTCTGCAATGACAGTATCAAGCCAAGTAATAGACAATTACCTCATACTTTTTTTTTTTTCTGGTAAGAACAGTTAAAATATCAGCAATTTTCAAGACTGTTATTAACTACGGTCAACATGTTCAGGAAGAGAGTTCTTAAACTTATTCCTCTGAACCAATGGAAGCAACGCATCATCTGACCACCACCACCCTCTCAACCCCTTCCTCAGTACATCTATTCTGGACAAACAAACTGATGTATACTGAGGACTTGGCCACCATCACATGGCTAGCCAGTGAGGGAGTCGGAGTTTGGTTCTAAGTTTTATTCACATTGGAAGAGTGAAAGCCAGCAGCCGGAAGGACGGCATCAAACCTCACCCCAGCTGAGGAGCTTTGGCAGCTAGAGGCTGCTGGAAGTCAGTTATCTCCGGGAACTGACTCCCGTAGATTGTCTATGTTCCAATGGTTTGGTTTTTTGTTTGTTTGTTCTATTGTGTTTTGTTTTTAAGACAAGGTCTTTCTACATACCCGTGGCTGTCCTGAAACTCACTAAGTAGATCAGGCTGGCCTCGAACTCACAGAGATTCACCTGTCTCTGCCTCCCGATTGCTGGGATTAATGGCTGGTCCGGGCCATGCACGGTAGTGCATCCATATCTATAATCCCACTACTTGGAAAGCAAAAGCAGGAGAATCAGAAATTCAAGGCTCATTCTTAGTTAGAGGTCAGCTTGGTCTACCTGAGACTCTGAGAATAAACCTTGAAGTACATGGGGTTCATTCAGGGAGATTAGTTTCCAACAGTGTCCTAAGCATGGAAAAGTCTTGGACTCCTCAAAGGGACTCAAAAGCACTCAACCAAGACCATGAAACTAAAAGGCTAAAGTCATAAAAGCCTTCAATACCTGACACAAGGTCAAACCGACAGCAGGTTCTTCCTAAGTGGCGGGTGACCAGGCGGCAGATTGGAGGATGTCAATTACAGGCAATCAAAGAGAAAAGTGGCTGTTTCAAAGGTATAATCTCACAGTGACAGGAGCACAATGAACAACAAAACTGTGACTGTTTAACGTTAATTTGCACACTGCTCCATGCCTCAGTTTCTCCACTCATACAACAGAGAAGACTATAATCCACAGCTTGGAGAGCGTTGCTTGAGAGATTAAAAGAGACGGCCCATGGAGTCAGGCGTGAGATGCACACCTGCAAATCCAGCAAGCAGCAGGGAGAGGCTGAAGGAAAACTGTTGCAAAATTTGCTGTCTACACATCTGAGTTCCAGACAAGACTTGGCCTATAGAGACCCTTAAGAAAAAACACTAGCCATTAGAAAAAGTAGCACTTACAGCTGGGGGATGTGTGTAGCTCAGTCGGTAGACAAGCTGAACTGAGTTCCTAATCCTAGCTCGGGGAAAGAGGGAAGAGGATCAAGTGTTGAAGGTCATCCACCCAGTGTTCAAGGTCACGTTCCAACATAAGATGGAGGCCAGACATGTGGGGGTGGGGGTTGTGCTTAATAACTGTTTAATCAAAGGTTTAATTTTATTACTACCTACATCTTACAGCTCCACTGTTGCTCCTAATCTTATGACTGTGAACTACAGAGGCAATAACTATACCTCAAGAGTCCCATCAGCATCCAGGACATCATAGAAAACTCCTTGAAACTTGCAAAGACAGTCTATAGCAATTCGGTATTTAATGAGTAACCCTTATATTGCAAAGAGAAAGAGATGACGGGTGTTGGCACTGGTGGAGATTTCTCACCGCTACACCAAGAGCCAGATCTACAAAAATACTCAAAGTCATAGATCAGGTGGTTTCTGAGGCATTTGAATTTTGAGCTTTGGATTTATTTTATTTGTTTGTCGGTTGGTTTGTTGGGGGTAGGGGGCAAACTGGGAAATTTGAGTTCTTAAGCAGAAAAAACTGGAGTGAAAACCGTCGTCCTGTTTAGATGACAACATTTGTTCGATGGTATGTTCACTATACACTAACGCACACTATATGATCTGAATGGCTAAGTATATTAAAATAGCCTTAATGGAAAGAGTGACTACCAGAGAGGTATTTCAGAAGAGGGAAAAAAAAAATACCCCATTGCTTTACAAGAAAAAAAAAGAGGAAGATAGGTAGTCAGTCTCCTGCATCCTTCATTCCTCCAGTTTCTGATTTGGATGTATGCAACTTCGGTTTGTTTTACCAAACAAAGGTGGGATTCACCAAGTAGACTGGTTCAAGGACCCTTCCTGTTTTCCAGAAGATTTACTTTCGAAATTTCAGCCAAGCCTAAAAGATCTGTATCAGAAAAAAAAAAAAACAAAAAAACAAACCACGAGGAGGTGGAGGTGGTGTGGTAGTCTCAGATCCACAGATTAGACTTGTTAATAGAATGTTGATCCCATGAGTAATGTTCACAGCTGTGGCATCCAACAATGGAATTAACATTTCAGCAGGAAGCAGGGAGATATCCCAGTAGAGCCACCACGAATCCAACCTTCCCAACTCCCGGGACCCTAACCAACCATTTTAGGAGGCTACCCTTAGCCTGTGTGCATGCCTCATTGAGTTGAACGTGTACAATCGTTTTTATGACTCATTTGGTTTTAAAATTCCTTCAAATGTTTACTATAAGAAATGAGACCGACTTGTTTAAAACACACTTAGAAAAAGATTAATTTCTAAGTGTTAAAATGGTTATGCGTTCTGGGATCCAGGCTTTTTTTTTTTTTTCGCCTTGTTTCCCGAAAAAGACGCTCTGCAGCTGAAATATGTACTAGGCGGATTTCTCACACCACACATCTCACCACCTGAACGTCAATCATCATACCAAAAAAAAAAAAAAATCAACTTATTACAAACCCCGGTAATTCCTCCCCAACACTGATTTCAGACCGTCGGTTCCTAATACCTCGTCTCGGGGCTGCTCGGTCGAGCTAGCCTATTCTTTGAGACTCAAAACCAGCAGCTTCGGTGCTTCTTTCCTAGAGGTAGCCAGGACGACTGACACCGAGCGTCTCAGTCTTCTCTCAAATAATGGCGTTTGTAATTCAGCCTCCCTGCTTGTACTACCCGATTACCTAAAAACTCGCAGCCCGGAGCTTGGAAGTCAGGGAAGGCTGGCGGCACACAACACACAGGCAGACGCGGGAAACAGAGAAGGGCAGATAAAGCAAAGTGGTCCCCAGGGTAAGCTGCCCTGGAGGCGCGCCCCACACGCCGCTCGGTGAGCCTCCGCCACCGCCACCAGGCGATCGGGTCCCCGCTCCGCTGCCTCCCAGACGCCTCACGCCCCCTGCGCGGCTCCCGGGGACAGATGCATTCTCCCGGCTGGCGCGCGTGGCCCGGGCAGATCACCCCGTGCATGGGTACCCACCCGCCACCACCACAGCAGCGCCCCCCAAATTGAGCCGCCCCCTCCCCCCACGCCCCATTGTTCCCGGGAGGCCGCGAGCTGGGAGCGCAAGGGATTGGGACCGAGAGGTGCCGCAACTCACCCGCCACCCCGCACAGGAGCACGAAGCACAGCAGGAGCGCCATGGGAGCTGCCGGGTCGTGGCTTGCAGGTAAAGGCTCTCGGCTGGGAGCCCTGGTTTTTCCCAGAGCCTGGTACACTCCCGACTGGCTCCCGGCGGTGGCAGCAGCGAAGGCACCTCTGCGCCCCGCCCCAGCTCGGCAGGTGAACGCGTCACTTCCGGCAGCAGTCGGGAGCCCCTAAGCGAGAGCCCACAATGTTGGCGCCCTGGGGTTGCCATGGAAACTGGGATCGGTGCGCGTCCCCTCCCCCCTACTCCCCACCCCCGGGGAACCTTCCAGTTCCAGCAGTCTTGCACTGTACACCTGCTTGCACTGGGAGCTACCTCCGGCTCTCCGGAGCTCTCTCCCCTTGGTTAAATCGCTGCTTTGTGAACTGGGAACCAGCGAGCCGGGCTCAGTGCTGAAACCGCAGTCACGCCCTCCCCCAGAGCCCGGCTCCAGGCCAGAATTGCTCCCTCTCCCTAGACCTTGAGCTAGGTTTACACACACCACCAGCCAACAGTCACCGCATCCTGTGGTCAGGGGTGGGGACCTCCTGGCACCTTGTGTTTCCACGGGCTATCAGAGTGCTCCGCGAGTATCTTGCCTTCTGTTTGAATGGCTAGGTTCCTGTAGAAGGCTCGGGAGAGGCTTTTCTTTCTCCCCTAAATACACTAGACCTATAAAATGAGGCTACAGGTTTAACAAATACTTGGGGCTTTTCTCCTCCTTGCGGTTATGAGCCATCCCAGCCCTAAAATTAGCCCACAAGGACGAGAGAACTTTAAAAGTGGGCCTGGTTGGGGATTGCTAAATGAACGGGAGTGGCTTTTGAAAATTAGGGATTTGAAGAACCAAAGCAGTCCTACCCCGCAGCTCTCCCTTGCAGTTATCCTCTGACTTGTCCTTGCTGTCTGTTCTTGGTTGCTCTTTCCAGATCATTTTTTTTTTAACTGTAGAGATGTTGAAATTCACAAGAACCCCGTATTAGAAGCTAGAAAACAGAAGAAACCAGCTTCATGGCCAAGAACTAGGGGTCTGGATGGGCAAGTTATTTAGAAGTGAAAGTGAAATCATACATTTAAAAAAATGCCTGGAGAGCTAGCTCAGCGGTTAAGAGCAATGGCTGCTCTTCCAGAGGTCCTGAGTTCAATTCCCAGCAACCACACGGTGGCTTACAACCATTTGTAATGGGATTTGATATCCATTACAAATTTTGGTGTGTCTGAAGACAGCAACAATGTATTCAAATATATTAAAAAAAAAGTAAATCTTTTTTTAAAAGAATGCTTGGCACCCCCACAGAGCTCATAGAAAGTGTTCAGCAAATAGCTAATAAAGGAAGATTGGGAATGCCTTATTGCTCATTGAACCAGAGAAAAGGGAGAAGGCAGGTGTGGGGAGTTGGATAGGAATGGTCCCCACAGACTCATATTTAAATGCATAGACACCAGGGAGTGGGACTCTTTGGAAGGATTAGAAGGACTAGAGACTGCAGCCTTTTGGAGTAGCTGTGGCCTTGTTGGAAGAGGTATATGTTGGGAGGGGGGGGCTTTGAGATTTTAAAAACCCATAAGACCCTGTCTCTCTCTTGCCTCTTCTCTCCCCACCCAACCCCCTCTCCTTACAGATCAAGATATAGCTCTTAGCTACTTCTACATCATACCTGCCTGTCTGCATGCTCCCTGTATGATGATTATGGACTGAAACTGTAGGCACGTCTCCAATTAAATGCCTTATTTTGTAAGAGTTGCTTGCCTTTGCCGTGGTGTCTATTCATAGTAACAGAACAATATCTGGGACAGCAGAATAGCCAGACAAGGCTAAGCAGGCTCCTACAGGGGAGAAAAAAAGGCTAGTCCATGAAGAGGTGTGCTACCCTGCTAAAAAGCTTAAAGAGTTGGCTAACCACCAGGCAGAATTCTGGGAATGGATTTTAAGGGGTTGAGACAATGGTGGAAGGAACACAAAACTGGATTAGGCTGAGTTTATTGATATGGCCCACTGACTGGGGAGTCTAAGTTTAATATGGAAGCTTGTACAGTTAACAAGAGTGTCAAACATCTGAATAGTTGGCTGAAGCATTTGTCGAAAGATGGCCTTCTAAAAGGGAGTTGGAGATACCCAATATCCGTTGGCTTAATGTTGATGAAGGGATTTTAAAGTTCCAGGAAATTGCAATACTAGAGTGGGTAACCGTGTAAAACCTAATCTTCCACAATGGGAATGTCCAAGAGACATGCCCTTCAGTAATCCTTTAAGCTGCAAAATTATGAGAGGGGCACTGGCACATTTGAAGAGCTTTGTTAGTCAGCCTTAGGGTTGAGACACACAGCTGCTCACTTCGATGAACTAAATGCAATGGGTTTAATCGGCCTCCGAGGTAGCAGAGGCCAGGGGGCAGCACTGACTTTCCAGAAGCAATGGGATCATAGCCAGACAGCATAGACAGGGCAATGTCCATATGGTCGGATCCATAATGGTCAGCACAGGGTCCATTGGACACTGGTTCCAAACTGATGCTGATTCCATGAGACACCCCAAAACATTGTGTCCTTCCAATTAAAGTAGGAGCTTAGGAAGATGGAGTGATGAATGGAGTTTTTGGAGAAGTCTGATTCATAGTAGGTCCAGTGGGTCATCCTGTGGTTATTTCTGCAGAATATATAATTGGAATAAATATACTTAGAAGTCAGAATTCTCATATTGGTTTCCTGACTGGTGAAACAAGGGCTATTGTGGTTGGAAAGGCTAAATGGAATCCTTTAGAGTTGCCTCTGCCAGGGAAAATAGTGAATCAAAAAACAATATTTTATTCCAGGAGAAACTGCAAAAATTAATGCCACCATCAAACAGTTGAAAGACACAGGGGTAATGGTTCCTACCATATCTCCTTTTAATGCTCTTATCTGGCCAGTGCAGAGACAATGGGTTAGCTGGATGTCAGGGACTTGGAAAGACCATGATTGGAAATTTGATGAGAAAGACATCTGGGAAAATGTATGTGGATAGATCTCTCCAAACAGGCAAAGGCTGTGAAGAGACTTGTGTCCCATGTAAATGCTCACCAAAAGATGACTTCAGCTGAAGAGGAATTCAAGCTGGCCCATTCTGATAGGATGGCCCATTCTGTAGACAGCCTCTTATCATTGCCCACTGCGCCCATGAACAATGGGGCCATGATGGCAGAGACAGGGATTATGTATGTCCTGAATAGCATGGACTTCTACTCACCAAGGCTGACATGGCTACAGTACTGCTGAGTGCCACCTCTGCCAACAGCAAAGACCAACACTGAGCCCCACTGTTCCCCAGGGTAACCAGCCAGTGACCTGGTAGTAGGTTGGACCACTTCCTCCATGGAAAGGACAATACTTTGTCATTACTGGAGTAAGTACTCATTCTGCTTATAGATTTGCCTTTCCTGCATATAATGCTTCTTCCAAAACCACCATCCATGAATTTACAGAACGCCTTATTCAGTGATTATGGAGTCCACTTGTCTTACTATATTTTTTACCACTTTGAAGTAGCTGGCATGATAGAAAGAGAAAATGGCCTTTCGAAGATATAATTACAGCCCCAGTTAGGTGACATCATCTTAGAGGGCTGGGACAAGGTTCTCCAAAAGGTTGTATATATACTTTGAATCAGTGTCCCAATCATACATGGTATGTTTTCTCCAAGAGCTAGGTGTCTTAGGGTTTTACTGCTGTGAACAGACACCATGACCAAGGCAACTGTTGAAATGACAATTTTTAATTGGGGCTGGCTAACGGGTTAAGAGGCTCCATCCACTATCACCAAATCGGGAACATGGCAGCATCCAGGCAGGCATGATGCAGGAGGAACTGAGAGCTCTACATCTTCATCTGAAGTCTGCTAGCAGAATACTGACTTTCAGGCAGCTAGGATAAGAATCTTAAAGCCCCTACCCACAGTGACACACCTATTCCAACAGGGCCACGCCTTCTAATAGTGCCACTCCCTGGGCCGAGCATATTCAAATCAAACCATCACACCAGCATCCACAGGTCCAGGAATCAAGAGGTAGAAAATGGAATAGTTTGACTCACTAACACCCTAGTCACCCACTAGGAAAATTTCCCTTTCCTCTTCTAATAACCTTAATTTCTGCTGGCCTAGAAATTTTGGTTCCAGATTGTGGTGTACTCTGTCAGGACCCACACTAAACATTCCACTGAACTAGAAATTCAGACTTCCCTCAAGCCACTTTGAGCTTCTGATGCCCTTAAGCCAACAATAGGCTAAAAAGAGAATAACAGTGTTAGGAGGGGTGATTGATTTGGATTACCAGGGGGAAATTAGATTGCTTCTCCACATTAAAGGTATGTAAGAATATGTCTGGAGTATAAACAATCCGTTAGAGTGTCTTTTGGTACTAACGTGTCCTGTGATTAAAGTCAATCAAAAATTACAACCACCTAATCCAGAAAGGATGACAAAGAGCACAAACATGTCAGGAATGAAGCTATACGTCACTCCTGAGGAAAAGTGCCAAGGAGGGAATACAAAATGGAAAATGGAGGAGAACAGTTATAAATACCAGCTAAGGGCGTGTAACCAGTTGTAGAAACAAGGATTATAATTGACTTTCATGTTTTGTCATATTTTCTTAATGTGTCTATCAGATATTTGTTTTTTCCTTTCATGATTTATTCACCATGTGATATAACATCAACTCAGAGAATAAAAGTGAATATCCTATTTAAGTTTGAGATCCTAAAAGAATGCCCATCAAGGAACATTGCCACCTATTCTAAACTGATAATCCATTTGCATTTGTATGTGGGATAGTCCTATCATGTTAGGTATAATTTTAACATGGTTTTGTTGACATTTGGAAATTAAGCACAACTTGAGGGGATATTATTGTGTGTCAAGTTGACAAGGGGTGAGCTTGTGATGGCTATTCTTGTTTGTTAACTTGACTACACCTGGAATGAACCAAATGGCTGGACATACCTGTGAGGGATGTTTTTCTTAATTAAATCATTTGAAGTGGGTTTTCCCACTTCTTTTATTTTTTAACACAATATAATAAGATAAAACAAGGCAAAACAACAAAAGGAAAAGACTCCTAGAGATGATGGCACGCTGGGCAGTGGTGGCGCACGCCTTTAATCCCAGCACTTGAGAGGCAGAGACAGGCAGA